ATCACTCAAAGGTCCGTCCATAATTTTATTATTTTTGACAGCATTATTTAAAACTCCAAAGTGTTGTTTTTCTTAATCACTTAAAAATATTATGTGTGCCTAATCGATAAAATTAAAATATCTCAAAAAATGTAAAATATTTATATTTTCTAAGCATATTTATATAGGAGAGGGAGACAGGTGCAAACCACGTTCCTGTGTGGAGCACATGGACAGCAGTATGAGGGCTGCTATTGTAGAACATCCCAAATCAGCTGGCTCAGAGCTGCTCCCTGTTGGGCTGTCATACTGCCAGATCCCTTCTGTGCTGTGTTTAAGCCACTGGATGAGGCCAGCCTAGCCAACAGCACTGCAGCAGCAGTTTTCCAAGGAGATCATTCTCAGCACAGCATCTCAGGAATAGCAACAGTCATTACAGCATATTGCAGGAGTCCCTGACACCTTATTTGTGTAAACTTAATCCTCCTCCTCTCCCCCACTACAAGATTGCAAAGTTACCTCTGAATTATTTGATATGTCTATTTTCTAAAATGTGTGATTGCATTTGCAGAGATTACTCCAGAAATTTGACAGCACCCATTATTATTTTCCTATTATGCATTCAATGATGGGATGCTCTGTGATATTTTCTTGAAAATCAGAATGAGCAATAGCATAAGCAAATACTTTTCAGGAGATAAAGCGACTCCTACATTTGGATGAAAGGATAGGGACATTAGACTGTGACTTCAGCACCCTCTGAGAACACCTGGAGCCAAGTCCACGTTACTGGACAGTTCTACAAAACCCCTCGACATGTTGGTCTCCTCAGCTCTTTGCTGGTGATAGTAAACCCTAATCTTTGTAAAGAACATCAGCTCCATGGATAAGCAGCCCATGTTTTTAGAGCTGTGCTCACTTGTGCGAGGTTGTGCTGTGCTGTTTAATATCTGAGCTCCATGGGCTAAAACACGCGGGTACAGGGAATGCTGCAATGGTGGGGAATACAGTCAAAGACATACTTTAAAATAATTGCTGATGGTTTTGATAGGCACAAAGTTCCTCCTGAAAGCTGTAACACTTCAGTGTCACTGCTGTGCTACTTCTGCATGGCACAGGGACCAGGGCTCATGGGGCAGAGGAAGGGCCATGTCAACATTTGGGCCAGTGATTGAGGCTCCCACTTGGCAGGGGGCACTGGGGTTCCCAACAACCTTGGATGTAAACAATGAAACCTTTGTGTCCTGCTGTACAGGTGGGGACTCTACAATGCAGGAAGCAAAATGTACAACTTGATGGATTCCCAGCTCTGCTGGGAGGTAGGAAATGATGGTGGGAACACAGTCCCACTGAGAAAACTCGCAGTTGCTGTTCACTTTCTCTTTTTGAGCACTCCAAACTTTACTTTCCTGCATAAAAGCAGGGCATCTTCTTTCTCAGCAGAGCTCTTAAAACAGAGATGGTCCGTACCCAATCTTTCTGAGGGCAAGCACATGCTCCTAGCATTGTGAAAACTTCTGGGCTGTTTAGTATCTGGCAGGAGGAGATGCTTCCTCCGGCCCTGACAAAGCCTCCCAAACCTTGCACAAAATCAGGCCAAACCTATTCTGAGATTCCACCTTTTCTCCAGGCGGTTTTCTGGTTTGCAGAGTTAAGAAGGTCCTAAAGTAGAGGAAGGCTACAGGTATTTAGATGATTTCTGCACTTTCTGGACTACTGTATTTGGCCAGTGCTGTTGATGCTTAGAGCCCTTTTACACATGGATTAAGCACGTATGGAGGAGATTGTAAAGGGATGTAATGAACTCTCCTTTGGCTTGGGAGATTGGAACTGTAATTAATACCAATTTGCACATCTGTTCTGAATTAGGTGCTGAAACAGTGTCCTGGCTTGTGACAAACAGCCACCAGAATTCCTTGTAGTTTAAGTCAATAACTTACCTGGATACCCCACAGAAAGGCACCCAGGAAGAAAGATGATCTGGGTTTTCAATTTGCCATAACACAGCAGCAAGACCTAAATGGGAGTGGGAATGAGGCAGCACCTTTGCTAAGAAAAGCACCAGCTCATCTTGCATGTTGAGTGATGCATGGATATACCCAGTCCAGCCCCAAAAGCTGCCATTCTGTATGAAGCAAGACCTAAATGGGAGTGGGAACGAGGCAGCACCTTTGCTATAAAAGCACCAGCTTATCTTGCATGATGAGTGATGCATGGATATACCCAGTCCAGCCCCAAAAGCTGCCATTCTGTATGACAAGAGTCAGTTTAGTTAGCCCACATGGCTCCAAATTAGAGTTCATTAGCAAAGCTTTGATGAGCAGCTGGTCCTTCTCTAGTAATGACTACCAGAAGAAAATCTGCATTCCTCTAAGTGGGGGAAATGTTCCATTTTTGAGATAAAATAAATCCATAAATTTCCCCTTAGCCTTCCCCCTAAAAAGACAACAAAAACCTGAACTGGTAAAACATTCTCTAATCTGAAACTGTGCAGGGTTTAGTTGTTAAGCAGAGGAATAGGCAGAAGCACAATTTTTTCTGGAAGAGAAGCATTCACAGCTCAGCCTTTCTGGCACTGAAATACTCTAATGCACATTATTTTACTTTTGTCCTGTTGCCACCACAGTATAGCACAGACACTACCTGGGGTGGGTACCAGCCATCTTTCTGCATGTCGGGAGGAAAAGAAGACACCAGCACATGCTTGTGTAGTTTGAGCAGCATGTGAGATACCCTGGCAGCTGTCATTGGGTAAAATCATTAAAAAGTCATCAACACAGGTACAGGGTGTCACTCTCTAGTCTCCTCTTATGAGTTTAGATCATATTTTCCCTATGATTGCTTTTCTAAGGTAGGTTACACATACATTTTCCAAGCAGAAATAGCTTGTGTGCTCTATCTGCACACAGATTCTGGGGTCAGCCTGTGTAGTGACCGCTCACCCAGCCTGCCTTCACAGCCAGCCACAGGCTACAGTGTGTTTGAAAAGCCAAACCCTGTTTGTAAACTATATTTTGAACACTGAACTCTGTTTTTCAAATTCATTCAGCCTTTTCAAAACTGAATCTTGAATTGTTTTAGCTGCTTAACTACAGCATTGTAAAGAGGAAGACTGCTTGGCTTGGCTTGTTGAAGTGGGCAAGGATGCCATTTTGAACACTGAACTCTGTTTTTTCAAATTCATTGAGCCTTTTCAAAACTGAAACTTGAATTGTTTTTTTCTGCTTAACTACAGCATTGTAAAGAGGAAGACTGCTTGGCTTGGCTTGTTGAAGTGGGCAAGGATGCAGCCACAACATGGGCAGAGCTGGTGGAGAATGGCCAGTGGTGTTAAAGGTATCAGCAGCACCTTCCACATGTGGGTTTTACAGAGTGCTGAAATTGCTGGCAGGGAGCCCTGTCTTCCCTGCACTGTAGTCATCAGAGCAGGTGCTTTTTCCTTCCTTTCCTACAGCTGCACCAGCTGTCACTCGTCTCTAGAGTCAAAATATTTCCATGCCTATCAACAGCTAGTAATTTATGTGAAATCAGCGAGTCTCCTTGGAAAGTTCATGCTACATGTGCCAGAGCCAGGCATCCGGCAGAGACTCGAGAGCAAGTGTAACGAGAAGCCCTCAGCTACAGAATTGTTTCCTTTAGCAATGGATGAGCATGCATGACTATCCTTGGTTTCCTAATTATTGTAATTTACTCAATCTCTCCTATTAACGAGCATTTTTCTGCCTGGGGACTTTCTAATCATGGAATTAATTGTCACTTTTACCATTATGAAATACTGCTCCCATGACATTGTTCAGATTTACAACCCTAACTGTGAAAAGAAGAAAGGAGATAAAGTGAAAGTTGTTAAAATATTTTTCTCGTCCCTTGTGAAATTTTTTTCAAGAGCATTTTAGGAGCCTAATGTGGAGAGGAAAAAAAAAGGAATAAAAAATAATTTTCACCCTTGAAATCCTAGGTAGCAAGCATTACCTTAGAAATTATAAGCAGCATGTTAAAAGAGACCCTCACTAATTAAGACTGGCACTATGGATCACCTCTTTCTTAATCAGGGCTGGGAACCTGCTGTAATTCCACCAATTCCACTAGGATTTTGTCAGAGCACTACCAATCTCACAGATACAAAAATTGCTTCTGAATATATCCCCCTTTACCTCACATGTTGTCAAATTATATAAATGCCTTTACCTTTCCAGCTGAAATTGGTCTCTTTGGTGCCGAGCTCCAGAAGGAATGGCAGGGCACTCCTAGCCAGACTTTTTAATGACTTGAACTTGTACAATGTACCATAAAAACAGAGACACGTGGCATTCAGAACAAAATTAAGCAGTAGCACCAGGCATAGAAATCTGAAGGAAATATGAACTTCAGAACTTCTCCAGTCTTTTTCCTACACTTACATAGTGCTAGGGTGATGTTTAGTTTTGGAGATGACTGAATACACTTCCCATTCAATTCAACAGCATTCACTACTGAATGACTCATCTGATGCATTCTTAACAACAGATTTCAAGAGACACTGCAACCCCATCCAACTCACAAACAAACAAACAAACAAAAAACAAATTAGAACCTGTCCCTCATGATTAAAAAACCCCCAAACAACAAAAACCCTGTCTCACTTGTGTACAATATTTGTTACAGCTGGAAAATTGAAAAGAAATCCCTTATGTCAAGATGATGCATCTCAGAAATTACATTAAAAATGTGTTAAAATAATGCGAGCTTTTGACTAAAGATGCATGTGTAACTACAATACCTCTACAGAGAACTAGTACCATCCTCTCTTGGAAGGGGATAGAGTTAGCTAAGACATGTAAATCTGAAGTCCAGTTTCTACAAGTATTTTACTTTTCAGTAAATGCCTCACACATGCTGTCAGCTGGTTTTGCAGGGAAAAAACCCCACCAATATCTGGGGAAAAATAGTTAAATAATCTTAGTTGCCTCCCCACATATGTGCTGAAAATGCTCCAAAGCTGCAAGCATTTGAGAAAAGTAATGCACCCCTTAAAGTAATACCTTAAAGGAATAGTAAAAGGATCCCCACTCCTCTTCTGCCACCGCTTCTGTGAAAGTCACCGTTTCAGTAAAAGTGACAAGGGGAAAATCCAGACAGCCGGTGCCTCCCTGGGAGCTGCTGCTGGCTTCTGTGGAGTTGACCTCCATCACTGGATTTTGCTTAAGTTGTCTAGGTGCTGGTTTTAGTAAGAGTTAATGCAGCCAGGCTTCTCCCGTAAAAGCGCAGCACAAAACCAGCTTCTCACTGGCTACCAGAGGTGTCGGGCTTCAGTGCAGCTGAGTGATAGGAAAAAAAAAAAAAAACAAAACAAAGCCAAGCTGGCATTCCTTTGAGCTTTCTTTAGGTACAATTCTGACAACAGCCATCCACGTGCCCTTCCCAGCAGCATCAGCCAGTAACAGAGTCAGCACACACGGACCCAGCCATGTGCTTTATCGACTCTGGATTACCTTGCACCCCAACCTGTTAGCTCTGGAGTCAGGCACACCTGTAAAAGTATGGAGCTCCTCCCTGCACTAAGCCCAGGAGCCTGGGTATTCCACTCAGCAGCATTGCTTACTTACCTTAGCTGAGCTCAATATGATTTTGATTATCTTTAGTCTTGCGGTATATCCATAAACAAACACCAACATGCTCTCCCATAAAAAAGACCCTATTAAGTTTATAGGCTTAAGGTACCTGTCAATATCTACCTGACTTCATAAATAGACCTCTCCCTCACCTCTGCAAAGAGCTGGAGCGTGCTGCACACCCAGGAAGGCAGTGCTTTGTCACCAGTGGAAAACCTGTCTGGAAAGGCACAGCTCCTAGATACTTAGAGGCTCAAGACTCTTCAGAATGAGGTAATCAATTATCTCTCTGTTCACAGATTTTCTGGGCACCGATCCCACATACCCTCTGTTTATTCAGATGTTTTTGCACATCTCCAGTGGTGTCAGCCTAGCTGTACACCAAGATGACAGATGAGAGTGCACTCACCTTCCCTGACCAGAGCTTGTAAATACAGCACTTGTTCAGCTTTGCGAGGGTGCTCTGCCCCAATAACACTGCAATCCTAAGCAGAAATTGATGTGTTTCACACCCCCCAGTTCAATCTCTCCTTACCTGCTCATGGCAAAACCCAGTCCTGCATTTATGTAGGTACAGATGGCCATGGGTGAGCTCAGGAGTTTTTAACTCCTCTCTCTTGCTACCACAGCACACCTTTTCCCCAGGTGCTGGAGCAGCTTTCTCCACAACATGCCCACACCATCCATGTCCCTGATCTTCTTGGGAATCTGCCTATCCCTGCCTACATGAGCAGCAAGAGAGGGGTCACTAAAGAGCCCTCCAGCTCCCAGACCCTGTATTAATAGGGGAAATTCAGGTCCAAATTTTGACTGAACCCTCTCAAGTTAGGACATGCCTGGATCTAAGCCTTTGGAATAGGCTGTTCTAGAGACTGCAGAAACCTCTGAGTGTCTAGCAATAATCAGACTCTCCAGAAGATGCTGGAGTCATCAGAGTCATTCAGCAGAGTCATTTAGAGGAGGGAATCAGTCTAGACCAATACAGACAATAAGTACCAGTCACAAGCCAATCAATTCTGACTAATATGCACCAGAGATCAATATTTAACAGTGACAAATGATTCAGGGGTTGGAAACATGAAATAGATTTAAAAAAATATTATAAAGAAAAAAGATAAAAAGAAATCTTATTGAACCACAATATTTTTGCTGAAAACCACTGGGGAAAATGCTCACATATATATATCATATAAAAGAGAAATATTTTTGCATTTTTTTCTGACTGATTGTAGAAGTTGACTTTGAAACTCTGCTAAGTATTTAGGTAGCATCCAAGCTTCTTGAAAATATTTTACCATTTTTTTACCCCTCTTCTTCCTTCTTCTACTATTTCTTTCTTATATTTACAGAATTCTCTTAGCTAGAGTTAAATTTTTTTACACAAAACTTTTGGGTTTGGTGGGTTCTTTGCACTTTCATTCCTACAGAGTTGTTAAGCTCAAGCATATTACAGGCAGTAAGAGGCTTCTCAGAATCCACCCCACATGCCAGATCATGTGCAGCTCTCAGGGCTAACCTAGAGTGACTTGTCTTGTGGCTTTGCCAGCTACTTTCTCTAAGTAGTGCTTATGGTGCTGCAAAAGGTTATGCCGTGCCCTGCTCCGGCACTCTCCAGTCTACACAGGACTAATTCAGATTTTCCATCACTATTAGCTTTTCTGCTGGTGAGTATTTCAGTTGCTGCCATGTTTTGCTGTGGGCTGGTTTTGTAAAAATGCTGCTTAGTCACAGAATATGAAGCCATGCGGTGTTTGTGGTACTACATCTACAATTAAGCTAATTCTCTAGAATAAAATGCTTTGTTTTTAGACCACTACAAGTCATTAACAACTCTTTGAAATTTGGTGTTCAGACTTCTTTCCCCACCCCACTCTCCATGGTGATATTAAGCAAATTCTGAAATGAAGGGCAAAATAAAATATTTTATGATTGAATCTCAAAAACTTACAAAAGGCAAGATCAAATCCTAGAAACTCCTCTGTGCTGAAGGAATAGCTGACTGATTCCAGTAACTCACTTTGTATTTTCCTCAGCTGGGACCTTGAAAAGTCTCTGAGAACTTTCAAAGTTTTAGGAGATTGAGACAGTTTTATAGGGAGAGGAATTCAGTGTTCTCTCTGCTTTAATGTAAAATGCTGTCCAATTATTATTGCAAGACAGTTTTTTATCTAATGTATAATAAAATATGCTTCATCCTTCTTAACCTTTAAAGTGGCTTTTTTTTTAAAGTCACTGTATTCTAGAACTGCACCACAGCATGCTTCAGAAGTTGGAAGATATTAAAAATCCATAAGCAATAAGAATGAATTATTTGAAAGAAGAATAGAGAGAACTTGCTTTAGAGGCCTCTTCATTTGCCGTTGCCTTTATCTCAGTCTCGGAAGCTACACACATTTCGTTTTCTTAAATAAAACCTTGAACCAAAGGACCAGAAAACCTAAGAGCATAAATGGTTCCACTGAAACATAAAGAGAGTATTCTGTGGTTGCTGTGTGCAGCAAAACTGATATCCTGCCTGTGCAGAAACATGGGGGCAGATGTGCAATGCTTATCTTTCATCTCCCCATAGTGGCATGGCACTCCTGACTGGAAAGAAAAGGAAACCCTGTGCAACTGCAGAAAGTGAAACCAGGAGATTGATGTGATGATGTGATTTGATGTGATCTGATGTGATGTGATGATATGATGTGGTAGATGTAGGTAGGTAACTGGAAAGAAAGGGTAAAAAAGAAAAGAAAAAACAGGAAGCAATGAATAAAGTTTTTAAAGATCAGGTGAAAAAATTAGTGATTTTGATGATTTAAGCCTGAAATTCCTCATGCAAAAACTCTGGTCTTTCCTGCACAACAGCTGTGAAATGCAATAGGTGGAGATTATTTTGTGCACCACACTGTGGATGATCCTTGGTAGGCAGAGGTGCCATCACAGAGGATGTTACACTCCAAAACTCAGCAGCAGTAGGAGGAGGGACTATGCAGGATTATCAGTTCCTCCTATGCTATCTGTATCTGTATCTTGACTTCCCTGGCAGAAACTGTTGTGTGGCAGTATTTTTGTGCATGATGCAGATAACCTGCCAAAAATCAGCCAGTGTAAATATTCTAATGTGTCAAATTTTTAAAAAGATTAGGTACATCTGAAATGGGTAGAAAAAGGATCTGCTCAAGTGTATATTATTTTTTACTGATACTTTATGTTAGATTTCTTTTTGTTGTATTTAGGCATCATTCAGAGTAAAACTGAAAAAATATTTGGTTTTCTGCTCTTTGGAGCTTTGGCACCCTGGAGTAGTTAGGCATAATCATATTAAATGCAAAGAACAAATAATGGTATCAGACTGTAGGAAGAAAGAGAATGAGATATTTCTCACTTCTAAAAGAGCAGCAAGTTAATTGCTTCTCTGTAAAAAAAAACCATGCTTATACAAATCTTTATATGCCAGCTTTGGAAGAGAAAGTTTAGCCTGTTCTTCCCAACGCACAGCTCTTCTCCCCAAAAGCTGAACAGCTGGGGCAATTCAGAGGGACTCAGCTGCTGGCTCTGGCAGCATAGCACCACCTTGCAGCTGTGTGCCCTCATCCCTGCTGCACAGGAGAGCAGAACTGACACATTAGTGACACAATTCCTGTTGTCTGTCACAAACTCATTCTCCTTTGACTTAACAAACTACGTAGCACACGCGTTGGTTTCCTTTGGCACCGTGCCTCCAGAGGGATGCAGACCTGGGCATCCTGGGTAGGCAATACTCAAACAGGCTGGATTGATTGTCTCAAATCTGGAACCAAAAACATCTTCATGTGGTCCAAGTGCCTGGGATGTGGCTGGGAAGGGATGCCCATGTTTCTCAACTCTTGTAGGTCACTGCTGTGTGTGAAACAGAGGGTTTCATGTGTGCCTTACTTGATGCAAGTAGTCCACCACACATTTGCACTCACATTTATAGAATTTTTGAGCCCCTCCAGGTGGAGAGGACATCAAATTTCTACATCTCCAATACTTGAAACAGCTATGATATTTTATAGGGTAAATAAATAGTTATTGGATTTTCTCAACAGAAACCCCTAACATCCATTCTCCACCCTCCAGAAATGAAGTGGCTGTTACTAGGATAAAAAAAATTGGGAGTCAAAGTAAGATTTCAGAAGCTGTTTTCAATGTCCTCCCAAGCATTTAGTTTCAGGATCTGCATCCTAAAAATTGTATAAATGTGAGTGCAAATGTGTGGCAGAATACTTGCATCCTAAGTAAAGCACACATGAAACCCTCTGTTTCACACACAGCAATGACCTACAGGAGTCAAGAGACATGGCCATCCCTTCCCAGCCACATCCCAGGCATGGGGACCACATGAAGATGTTTTTGGTTCCAGATTTGAGACAATCAGTCCAGCCTGTTTGAGTATTGCCAACCCAGGATGTCCAGGTCTGCATGCCTCTGGAGGCACGGTGCCAAAGGAACCCAACGCATGTGCTAAGCAGTTTGTTAAATCAAAGGAAAATAGTAGCAGCATGTTGACACTGCCAAACTTAGCCATTTTCAGGAAGGTGAGTTTGTGAGGTGTGAATTTCAGCTACACT